TTTTTTTTTTTTTTTTTTTTTGGAGGGGAGGTGGCTGTGAAGATGACAATGCAACCAGTTATTATTAGCAGTAGACAGGAATTTTTGTCTAATTTTTAGATTTTCTTTAATTCGTAGACTAATAGGATTTTTATTAATATAGCTAGATGACATTCATATGGTCACTTATTCCCATGTGTTAGAGCACTGGATTTGACCTTTAAAAAAAAAAAAAAGCCTTAAATGCTTGATTTTAATTTCTCTAAGCCTCAGTTTTCTTAATTGAAATCCCAATGCCAAGACTCTAGAAGCCATTGCTTTCTTTATGTTGCATTCTTGGGAAAACGCAGGGTAGGAGAGGGGCCCAATTTTTCTCAGCATTTGGCCAAAACCTTAACTGGACTCTGAACACCTTAAACACGGGGATTGTGACATTTTTCTCAGAATCTATATCTAGCATTGGTATGAGAACCCCATGCAAGTGGTGTTGAATTGGCAACTTTCATGGACCCCTCTTCTTTATTGTTCTCTAGGTAGTATAAATTTTAACAAGTTTTCCTATCCCCTGGCAGAATAATCAGAAATATTCCTTACCCCAATGACCTAAGAGATTTTTTTTTTTCTTCCTGTGAACAGGTGTCATTCTCAGCTTTGGAGCTCTGGGTGAGATTTCCCTTTGGGGATATCTTGTTCTAGGATGGATTCTTGTTCTGGAATGCAGTCCCTAATCCCACTTCATTTTCAGATGAGGAAGCTCAATGTCTAAAGAAGATAGTTTAGTTAGCTATTAGCAGAGCTAGGATTAGAATCAGGATTCCTGATTTCTAGTCCGTACTTATATTTGATCACAACACTGTTCACCAATTGTTCTTTTCTCTCCCACCTGATTATCTGCTATCCTTCCCTCCTATATTCCCTCCTACTCCCTCTGGTCAAAATTTATAACAGAAATAAGTTTTAGAAAGAGTTTCATGTTTGTTTTAACTTAGAGAATTGGGTGTGTGCCTTTTATAGCAGTATATCTATTACTACAGAGTGTTTTGTTCCATTAAGACACATCACGGACAGGAATTTTAACTAACTAGGGTAGAAATTATGTAGAAAATAATGGGAATTGGTCCCATTGAAGTCAACTCGGTGACAGTGGTTTTTTTTTTTTTTTTCAGAGGGAAGGTGGCTGTGAAGGTCACAAGGCAACCAGTACCACCTGTGTACTTGCTCTATGCCATGCAGTGGGAATGGAGATAATTTGGACAGTGGTCCTTGACCTGGAGGTGGAGTGCAGGGGATAGGATGGACTGTCTCATTTTGCAGGGCCTCATTGATCATGTCAGAGGTCATGCTTTCCTTCCCCTTCAGATGGGCTGAGTTCTGTTTTAGTCCATGTTGGGGACTGCTTCAGCTTCATGTGGGTGCCTCTCTTTGTTTATGGTGTCCTGGCTATAGGAGCCCTATAAGTAACATCGTCTTGGATCCTTGGCCCTTTCTTAACTATTAAAGCTTTGAATGCTAGTTAGATACCCCTGCTCACTACCTCCATCAACTCAGCAGCGAGGAGGAGATGAGTTTTTTTTTAAATTTTTGGTGGTGGTAGTGGTGTTAAGAATATACACCCCAAAACATGCACCAGTTCAACAGTTTGTACATGTTCAATTTAGTGACATTGATTACATTCTTTGAGTTGTGCAACCATTCTCACCTTCCTTATCTGAATTGTGTCTCCCCCATTAACATCAACTCACTGTCTGCTAAGGTTCCTGTTCCCTTTTCAAGTTGCTGTTGTCCCTTTGATCCCATATTAGTAGTTCTTAAAGAGCATAATACTCAAGGCAGACCTTTTTAACTAGTTATAAACTGAACTATCATTTGGTTTTAAGAAGACTTTAGGGGTATTTTTTGTTTAAGTTTTAAAGATTATCTCAGGACAGTAGATTCCATGAGTATTTGAAATTCTGATCTGCATTTTCCCCCTTTTGATGGGATGAATTTTTTTAAATCTCTTAAATTTACAGGCTAGCCTTTGTTCCTCAAAAGATTTCTATTTTAAAATTAAAGTAGCTTTAAATAATTGTAGGAGTTTGTTTTGATTACTTTGTGCTTACACGAACAGACATACCACAAATGGGTGGCTTTAACAAACAGGAATTTATTTTCTTACAATTTAGGAGGCTTGAAGTCTCAGTTCAAAGGGCCAAGCTCTAGGAGCTGGGTAAAAAACCCCTGACCTTGGGCTTCAGCTCTGACTTTTGCTTCCAGCCTACTGAAGCTAGAGGTATCTCTTCACTCAAGCAGCTGCTGGGTGCTGAGGCTAACAAGCCCAAGGTTGACAAATAAGATGGCATAGTCCCAGTGTTACCAAGCAAAACGGCAGACCACTTGTTCAAGTCCAGAGGTAGTCCCAAGATCAGCAGGAAACATGGCAGGCTGCTAAATGAAGACTCGGCTACATGTAGATTCCAAGCATGCCAAAAAGCTGCAAAGACCTTTCTCAAAACTTCTTACATACTGGACGCAGACCACATCCCTTAGGCAGCTACTCAGCTGCTCCAGTAGATTCTACCATGGAGCTGATTCCCAGTCTCATCATGGGGAATAACTACATCCAGCTGCCAGCCACTCAAAACCAGGCCCAGCCAAGTTGACACACAACCTTAACTACCACAGAGTTCTTCAGGAAAATCCATGTCTCAGTTGTTTT